TGGGATGGTGGAGGGACAGCACAGGAGGGGAAGGCCCTCTGTGAGGTGGATTGATTCAGTGACTGGGATAATTGGGATGGGAGTGTCAGAGACAGTGCGTTTGGCACAGGACAGATCAGAGTTTAGGGCTGTTATACATAGGGTTGCTATGAGTTGTAAGCGACTCGATGGCACATAACAACAATAGTGACCTTATATAGGGTATACATAACAACCACAAATGCTAAGAGCAAACTCTAGTATATGGGATGCACAACCAAGTTTATTTCAGGATTATCCATAATAGCAAAGAGTTGGAAGCAGCCAGAGTGCCCATCTACAAACAAATGGATAGAGAAACTGTGGTACATTTACACAATGGAGTATAACACAGCATTGAAAAAAAAACCAATAAAGAACTCTCGAAACACTACATAATGTGGATAGTCTAGAAGACATTGTGCTAGATGAAATAACTCAGTCACAAAAGGAGAAATAGTGTATAAGGACACTGTTATAAAAATAGGAGTGTAACAGGGTAGTGGCCAGAAGAGCAGGAAAAGAATAATAAACAATTCATTGGAATAGGTGACAGAAAGGTCAATATGAAATGAATCGATGATCAGACATTATGTGTAATGCAATCAACAATCTGAAATATGATGCATTATGGAATGAATGAGATGAGAGGGAAAATCTGTAAGAATGAATAAATGAAAAACCAAATTCTTTGTAAACTTTCATTCATATCACAAAAGAAGAAAATTTTTACTATAATAGCTATGAGAAGTAGGATTTCATTTGACTCTTTACAGTTCCTCATCACTTTTCCAGCAGAGACCACCTGTATACTCTCATACCAGAGTAGTTTACTTTTTTAATTTAAAAATCAAATTTGTTGTTGTTGTTGATAGTCTTTGAGTCCAGCACAACTCAGCGACCCTAAGAACAAAAGGACTGAAGCCCCTCTACAACTATCAGCATTTATCAAAAGTTCATATGTGAAATAATGTGCACCAAAAAATTTACCTTATAAGCACTTTTTAGTATACTTACTATTCAGTGACATTTGCTTTCATCATGTTGTGAAAACTACATGTTTCACCACTATCTTAATGAGGTCCAGCCTCGTTATATCAAACAGTTCCACTGAGAGAAGGGACACGGATTAAAAATGAAGACACAGAGAGGCTACCAGCTGATGGCGGATAGCAAAGTTTATTATTGAACTCCTGTCTTAAATTCTTTTTGCAGTGAACAGAAAAACAACTCGGCTTCAAGGCCAACAATACATTTGTTCTGATATTCCCACCATCTGCAAGGTTACTTGCTTTTTTATCAGCAGAAAAGGCCATCTGAACTGAGTCTTTAGGGAGGGACATTCTATTCTCCACATCCTGCTTAGCCTTGGTGTACAAGGAACATTAAACTTGTCTTTGCTTTCCTTCAATCATTGAAGCACACTGATAAACAGCTCTGCACATTTGAACCTGGCATAAAATGGCTACTTGCACAAAATGGCTGCAGTATGGCTCACTTGGCTCACTACAGTTTCCCCCTAATTTATTTTTTAATGGGACGCTGCCTGTCTTAGGTTGCCTTGGACCTGCTTTCCTTGCTTACCTGTCATGAAGAAACTCACATCTTGGTGTGAGCCCTCTGTCTTAGGTTGCTAAGGAGCAGCCAAGGTCTTACCCATCATTGGCTACACATCCTGCATTATTGGGGGCAAGGTTTTCAGTTGCAATCCATGCATTTGCCCAAGGAGTTTTTTATATCTCAGGGCTATTGTCCATAAAGTGCATGGAAGGAGCCACAGTAGCCCAAGGATTAATACGCCTATGCCAGCCAAAGTGATTACTAGACTTTTAAAAGAATCATTTGAGGAGAACCATTTACAAAAATGTTCAAAAATTTCTTTTGCTATTTGTGCAGGTGTAAATCTAAATTTGGGGTTTTTTGCATTTCTAATACTTGTTGATGCAATTTAAAGATGTCTAAAGAATCGTTATTGGAATTCCAAATTCCTTTAAGACGGTGTGCAATCTTTTCCCAATCATAATTACTTTCATTTTATTTCAACTTGGTTACACAAATAGAATTATAAGCCACATGATAGATTAATTTTTCCCTAAACTGAATTTGTTGTACCATAATCCCTAACATATTAACAGTATCATATAAAGTATTTAATTTATGTTTCACCTCATCATCTATACTTTCTTGCTCTTGCCAATTACTAGTAACATTAGGCATTAAATCATTTACAAATCCAACAGTTTGCACTTTTTGCTTTAAAGCACAACAGAAGTATATATAGCAGCTATTATAGCTATTAATGACATTATTTCTCCAATTATTAATCTTACAGCTCTTTTAGTTCTAATAGTCAAAGCATTCAATTCTTTCAAAATTTGTAAACTGGTATTAGAATACCATGTTGCATTGATTTTTACAGGGATCATAATAAATCAAGGTTTCTTTAAAATGATTATGGAATTATTTTCCTTGATACCATTAATTCAATTAGTAATATTACATAGAGGATAAGAAATATTATATTGACTCCCCAGAAAATTAATTTGACTTTGTCCAACCAATAATAGATAAGGTTCAGGTATACAGGCTTTTATGTATCTTATTGTAAGATTTTTATCTTTACAACCCTTTTAGCAATGTAAGTTGACATTACCAAACTGAACTACTAATTTCCATAACTCAGTTTGATAATTACGGTGATTAACAATCCACATTTCTCCTACTAAAGCTTTGACTTTATTTAATGGATCCCAGTCGTACAAGTTCAAATCTGCAGTAACATTTTCCTCCAGCTGACAGGATGAAATAAGGGTGGATCTGGAACATATGTCCATTAGGATTCGGTTTTTGTTGTATATTTCCCCATTGTCTGTCTGTGGCAGACCTTTCATTGTCATTCAAAATTAAACAATTTAAAATAAATTGTAAAAGAGAAATATAATTATTTGGACTTAGGGGTTATAGTTCCCCTTCTTTATTTTATATAAGTAATTTTTGATAGTAGAATGAGTACATTCTACAATACCTTGTTCTTGCAGATTGTAAGGAATTCCAGTTTTATGACAAATATTAAAATATTTACAAAAATTTGAAAACTCTTACTGGTATAGCCAGGAGCATTATCAGTTTTGATTATTTTAGGAATTTCTAATATAGAAAACGCTAATAAACAATTTTTTATAACATATTTAGTTGCTTCTCCAGATAAACAAGATAATACCACAAAACCGGAACTGGTATCAATAATAACATGAACAAATTGCAATTTTCCAAATTTAGGAATATGAGCTACATCCATTTGCCAAATATGATTTGGCAATAATCCTCTAGGATTTACTCCAAATTGTGGAACAGGTAATAAATATAAACATTTTCACATGATTTTACAGTATTTTTAGCTGTTTCTTTCGGAATATGAAACATTTTATGTAAATATTTACTATTAGCATGATGACTATGATGAAATTGTTTTGCTTCTGTTAAATTAAAATTTATTAAATATTTATCAGCCAATTCATTTTCTTTTGCTAAAGG